TAGCAGATACAGAGATCGGAACTATAGTTGCTGACAGGCGAAGATAGAGACGGACAATTAAGTCAAGCGGGGTATTAAAGTGGATGAATTGTTGTGAATTATAGCGTGTGTTTAAGTTAAAGTAACTGTGGAAATTAAGTGTATTGAAAAGTTGTATTGAGGAATAATAAACTAGTTTTATTTAAGAAAGGACTTGTATCACTAAAGTTTCTTCAGAAAGAATTTTTACGGAAAATTAACAAACGAACAGAGACGTAACAATACGTTGCTTCAGTCTATGATGTAATCATTAGACTACAGCCCTCCACCAATATGAGAGCGACACATCCTCCTTGTGCAGTGATCTTCATGAGCACTAGCACGTGAACACAGGCTCATTCTTTTCACAGCACTATTTGTCTTCAGAAGTGTTTTTCTTAAGAGTAACCAAAATTTTATACTTACTGTTTTATACTTTCTTCACAATTGATTGTGTCATGCTTTCCTCAATTTTCTTCATTCTATGAAAACGCAATACAAAATTTTAAGCTTATAAACTAGAACTTTCATTCAAATTACCTTCAATTTGATTTTCTTTTAATTGACTTTGTACTTTTGGGACACGTGCCTCATTGTCTGTTCCTACTGTTCAATCCAACGTACGCGTTTCGTCCAGTAATCTTCAAGTTCGCCTTTAGGCCTATGCACCATTGCCATATCTGGTTCATTTTATTTCTAGCTAACAACAAAACAAACCCAAACAAAAAAATCTGTCTTTTGTATATTTTAGAAAACAAAACGTCCATTTCATGAATTTACCGGCTTTTACATTCATGTTCACACATTACCGGTATCTCCCAAATGTTTAACACTCCTTCCTAGGAGTCATCCAATACTGTAATGTTGATAGTAGACATTGATTTTACCACCATTGTGCACCACATGGTTGGTTTCATTCTGACCTCAGATCCAGGAATCCTAATCTCTTGTTTATGTTACTTCAGCTGAGCCTGCCCCATCTTCTTGTGGCTCTTCAGCATTCATCTATGTTCACTTTAGTTTCTTACTCTTAAAACCAGGGAGCCCCACCAAGTTTCTAATTGTGTCATTCCCTTTCTGTTCCTTGTCTTCTTGTTGCTATCTATAGTCTCTCTTTTGTGAGGGCTGGCCATTGCAGGTCTTGGAAGCAAGTTGTTTCTGGAGTCACCCATCAATTCTGGTCCTGTGAAAGTTCTGCTATTCCACTTTGTCCACTGGTGAGCTCCCTTTATTTCAGATGCTTTCTCAAGAGTTCCTGTACTTCTACTCTCCACCTCATTTATTTCCAATTCCATGGGACAATTGGAATTTGAAATTGTCAGCCAGATATCATTTTGGCCCACTTGACCTAACTCTAGTCTTTCCTTTGTTCCTGATGAGCAGCTTTTTCACTCTCTGGTAGTGGATGACCTGATTTGGGGTGTCATACACTTTCTCCATATCCCAATTTGTCTGCCTATCTTTCACTTCACTTTCTTTGGTTCATGTACAATGTTTGAAAATTTGGTTCTCAGTCCTTTCCTTTGAGTTGGCTATGGGTTCATCTTTTTTCATTGGGTCTAGTGGGTGTTTACTCAGAGATTACTTACTTGAAGCCTATTGTTCCACTACTCTATGAATGTTTGGCCTCTGCTTTCCAATGTGGCTTTCTCTATTGCAATCTCTCTTCTTCCTCAGGACTTGTCTGATTTGGGTTGGCATTTTGGTTCTCCATTTCAGTCTCAGCTTCCACTATTTATCATTTCATTCACTTGGGGGTCTCTCTCTCTTGGTATGCAGAGCAGGCTAAGCCTACTTCTTTGTCTTTGTGATACGGAGTTTTTGATACCAGGACTCTCATTTCTTCTTCATATCCAACGAGTCCTTTTCAGTGATTCTTTTCTCTTGAGTCCCTTTTTCTTCTTGAATATGTCCAGACACGTCTTCTTCAGTGGTTTTGGCCTATCAGTGGAGGTATCTCCAGATATACACTGTATTATTTTCTCTTCTTGCACTCATATGGCTCATTTGATCCCATACAACCATGTTGTCCATCTTCACCCCAAAATACCTAGACTTGAATCTGTTTGGAGTCCTCCAAGGCTCAGAAGTCAGTTTGTGGACTCCTTCCACTTATATATGTTGATTTCTGTATATGTGATGAATGTAACATAGATAGCACTTTGTGTTGACTTTGTGCTTGATGACAACCAATCCTATGACCACACCTTTCCACTCCCACTGCTACAGTGTGGTGCAATTCTGGATACCTGATCCATTTTGGGCATCTGGTCTCCACAGACGTGATTTTCTCTCTCTCTCTATATATATATATATATCCTCAAGCTGGTCGCTACTCTGCAGGCTTGCCATTATTTGCTATCTCATCTGTTTAGGCTTCTTATCAAGATCTATTCAAATACCTCCTCTGTTCTTTCTTTCTTCTTTTCCATGACAGGGAAGCACTTGCTGCCAGGACCCCTGTTCTCCTGGCTCTAGACTTTCTCTTTGGGCCCATGACAGTTTTAATATATTATGTCTTGAATGTGCAGGCCATGATAGCAAATCAACTATCTCATCTAGGTCTTGAAATCCCACTAAGTGGTTTCTCTATCCTCTTTTTCTTTCATTTGATTTGTTCCCACTATTGGCATCCTATCATCACTGTCTTTCCACCTTCCTTCCATCCCTTGCTTCCACTCATTTGGTATCCAATCCCATACTCTACAGTCCATTTAAATTCCCTGTAAGAGATATTGCCAGTGGGGAGTTGGATGACCCACCTACACTTTAATATCACATTAATTACACCAAAGGGAGATTTCACCTACCCTGGCTTTTGTCTCCCTCCATTCACCATTCTCTGATATCCACAGTGGATGTCTGATAGTGAGCTTTTAATTTTTTATTTTTTCTTACTGGTCTCACAACAACTGTCTTCAATATATACATATATATATATATGGCCCGGCATGGCCAGGTGGTTAAGGCGCTCGACTCGCTACACCAAACATGCTCGTCCTTTCAAAGAGGGAAGGCTGTCAAGTGGGTTGCATCCTTGACGTAAGAAACAGCTTTAGAAACGATGGCAGGGCAAGATCTGCCATCGGCTCAATGGTCCGCACGGACTATGAGAAATGAAAATATATATATATATATTATGGAGCCAACAAAGCTCACCAACTGCCCATTGTTGCCTCAAAGGGAATACTTACTCAAAGTTCCCATTGAGCAGGGGAAGTATGAAAAGGGTTAATCCAATCTGCCTCTGCTCAGTGCCCACTACTGAGACGGGTTTTTTCTCCAAGACTGCTTGAATGGTGTCGATGTATATTGTATCTTCGAAGCTGTTCTGCACTTCTGAAAAAATACATCACTAGGTGTGTGCCTGATCTCTCACATAGTTTACATTTACTGTCTTTAGTTTTGGTAATCCATTGCACTGTTTTTCAGTGCAGGGCCTAATTCTAGATGATTGTACCTGATGACAAAGGTCCACACACCTCTCTCGCATCCCCCACGCGAATTTCTACCCTCCATTTCTTTTAATAGAGTATGGATGCACCACTTATGTAGAAAGTAGGGTTGCAGTGTTACCTGGTAGTGCAGGACACTCCCCTATGTTATTAACTAAGCCAATTCAGGTGGTTAGGTCCAGCCAAAGGAGTCTTATGTTTGCCTCATGACACGAATTTGGAATGCTACTCTCTGCACCTGGATTTTCTGTTGAGTATCTCACATAAGTATTTCTCCATTATGGAACAGCCTGACTTATATTCCTTGCCACACTGCACACTCATGCTCAGTTGTACACCTGTGCCATAATGGACAGTTGAGCAATTTGCCATTCCACCCAACTTAGAGACATGGAAGCACCAAACAAAATATTTTTATGACAATATCGTTTGCTCTACCACCTCTGTTGGATGAAGACTATTCCCTGTTTGAGATGGATGCAGTTTCCCTCCTAGTACTGCTCCATTAGACTCCCCCCCCTAACCCTTATGGATCTCACATGCCATGGGCTTTTTCTTTTTGGTGCTATTTTCACAAAGGAATACATATTTGTAATTTCTCTACACCAGCCCCTCCACCATCTTCAATGTGGAATTCTAGCTTTTCTGTGTAAACGTGTAATGTATCGGGCTATGATGTAATCATTATTAGATTATAGCCCTCCACCAATATGAAATGGGGTGGAAAGGTGGGATGTGGTGCAGAGGGGTGAGTATTTATCTGAAATACATTTTCATGTAAAGAAAATGTGAACGACATTCACATGAAAATTTTTATGGTTATTTTATCATTAACCAAACCATTATAATTAGTACTAATATTATTCAGCTTTACAAATTAAACGTTTGATGCCCAAACACTAAACCACTTAAATATGAAACTTGATAAGTGGTATTCTTCTAGGAAAATTTAACACGAGTAAAATTCTAGTGAATAATTTAATCTTTAATCCAACCCACGTTATTTTGAACAACATCATTTAGGAATTTATTGATACATTCTTCATTCATGTTTTATTATTAATTCTGCTAATTAAAATAAACCTTTAGATGAAGCTTGATATACTTTCTATTTGGTCGAAATCAGCTTCTCCCCTGGTGACTTAGGCGCAAGTTTGAAGGCTTATAACGTTAAAAATTGGATTTCAATACCTGCGGTTAGAAGAGTACAAATAGGCCATTGTGTAGCTGTGCACTTTACGACAAACAAACAAACAAACAACTCGAAATCAGCTGTTTTACGAAGGTGCTACCGTCTTGCGGCATACTTTTACGCATCACCTGCGCGCACAGCTAAGTGCAGACAGCCATATTCGACTGCGCGATGAGGTTTGCTGGGTTACTTGTGTTGACATAATACGTCAGTGTATACAACTTACAACCACTGAACCAGCTGGGTTAGGTTCTGAGTTTAGAACGCTGTTTTTAATTGCCAAAAGCCAAGCTGGATAGGTTACCAGAATATCTTCGCGATACCGTGGACTGGTTTATGGGGTAAGTGCGCCTTACAAGTGTTATTATTATTTCTTTACATTTGTTATTGTTAAATTGCACACTATAGTATAGACATGTGTAGCAATCGGCGAGGTTATTACCGGTGTTCATAGTCGGACTATGCAGCACACCCTTACATCAGTTTTTCCCATTACAGATATTATATTTATAGGCCTACATCTGTATCAGAATACCACTGTTTTTATTTTTAAAGTTTTATTGTGCCCAGTATAGTACAATACTTTTATATGAAAATTTATTATAATAATGCAGTGAAAATGAAAAAGATATATTTTTGACAGTTTGAAATTGTGCTGGAAAAAATATAAAAATTCTGGTGTTTCAACAATTTTGAGTTGACTGTGCATCAAATATGCCATAATTTTACATTATTTCACAGTTATTTATGGATTATTATTAGATTTTAACAACAAAATGTAAGCTGTTAGTGTTACTATTGATGGTAATGGAATTATACTTTATAGTTTGGATGACTTAAATAACTATGTAAATAAATGAAAATAAAACCACACATGTATTGACTTGTATGATGAATTTTGGCAAAATCTTCTAAGTTCTAATCCTAAATGTAATACATTATTAATAAATTTCAAATCAAAAGAACAATTGGTGAACAATTAACACATTTTTTATTGCCATCCTTTACCAAAATTGCAAATCAAACTAAATATTGAAACTACTACTACTAGAAATGTTTTTGTTTACATGTTTTGGAAACCTTTGTACATTTGTTGGTGGTTCAGTGAAATTTGGCAAATAGGTTTTTTTCTGTATTCTTTATTGCTACCTGAATATAATCATATATCAGTTAGGTGAAAGTTATATTGACTGATAAACCAAAAAAAAACCACTTTTACATGATATGTAAATATGAAGTTTTCTTTTTGAAACAAACATAAAACATATTTTCCATTTACTCCTTATTAATGATTGTTCACACACACACACACATTTTGTGTTCTTTTTTTCACTAATGAGAAAATAGTTGCTTTTTTAACATAATATTTTGGAACAACATGGGACCTATTGGTCCATCTTAGCTGTTCCATCCTCAAAACTAAATTAAATGATTAAAAAAAAACATTTTAAACCTAGCCCTTTTCATTCATATAATTACCAAGCTTTTTTTTAAACTCACTTAAATTTACTGCCTCAACAACATCTGAAGGCAACCCATTCCAAAGGC